ACTTATGGTGAAACCAATTTTCTTACAGTTGTTTAAATTCTAGAACAGTATGTCGCTATTATAGAAAGTCATGTTGCTATTGTGGAACTAATATAGCGTTATGTTTATATTTTTATGAAATTAAAGTGTTATATATACATTTTTTTGTTATTTAATTATGTGAATCCGTGGTCCAAAACCGATCCAATTCGTGTTTAAATGGATTGGTTCCATGATTTAAACGGATTGGATTGATTCCAATTTTTCAAGAACCGTAAATAACGGATTGGTTCTGGTTTTACCCCCAATCCTGTCCAATCCGAACCATGCTCACCCCTACTCACAAGTTGATGTGGGTCCCATAGCTAGTGATGGTTGATCTTATCAAAACTTGTGAGTCTTGTGAATATATTAGTAAAATTATAAATATCCCTAGCATTGTTGTTTGGTAAATGCTTAATATAATGATGTTACATCGTACCAAAAAAAAACAATCGTGATGTCCACAACTCCCCAATTACACAACTCCCCAATTACATTATGGAATTAAAAAATGTTACTCTATTTAACCCATTTCGTGTCACCACTTTCTTATTATGGGGACATAATTTTTGAATAACAACAAGTGGTCGAGGTGTCACCAAAGTGCCAACCGAGGTGCCACGTGTCCTGGTCATGACGCCGAGATCGTCTCGGCTAGGTTGAGGTTATCTGCGAAGATACTGAAATCCGGGAAAAGCAGATAAGGGACAAGAGTCCTAGAATGAGAGAGGACTTCAGTTTGGGTAAAGATAAGATTCTTAGAGAGTTTATCCTAATCCAGCTGGGAGTCCAAGATTAGTAGTAATCCTAAGTCCATTAAAGCTAGGCTTCTATTAGGACTAGGTTTGTGTTGGCTATAAAAGAGATGCACCCTCATGGGTCTAAGGTATGTTTTTTATACTCTGAATAGTGAGTTAAGAGATGACTTTAGTTTGGGTAAAGATAAGATCCTTAAAAAGTTTATCTCAATCCTACTAGGAGTCCAAGATTAGCAGTAATCCTACGTCCATTGAAACTAGGCTTCTATTGAGACTAGGTTTGTGTTGGCTATAAAAGAGATGCACTCTCATGGGTCTAAGGTATGTTTTTTATGCTCTGAATAGAGAGTTAAGCACTTTTGCTATCTTTGAGAGATAACTATCTTGATTGTCGGAGTGCCCCCGGGTGGACGAACCACTGCTGGAATCTCTTCTTTTTGTGATAGGTCGTTCAGGCTTAATCTATTCTACCAGTGTTCTCTAGCTGAGAGCTTGATTGATAGTGTGGTCGGAAATTGACACACACAATTTGGTGCCATCTGTGGGAAAGAAAGGAGAATAGATAGCCAATAACGGACATAAAGAGAAGGTTGGGGACGACATCCCTACTGAGAGCGAGAAACACATTGACCTTGGCGTCGAAGAAGACAACTACAACGAAGAGACTCGTGATAAGAATCACGGAGAAAAGGACATCGGTCAGGAGGGAAACATGCCAAAGAAAACAGACCGAAACAGGTATTATAACGAGGATGACCTCCAGGTATGGAAGGATAGATGCCTGCGGAAGGACAACGAGATAACCGGAATGACGAACAAATTGGCTGTCACGACCCAAACCCGGCCCTATGGGTTTAGCACCGTAACCGGCCAGTAATCCGAGATTACCGAAGGCCTGCTGAACAGTAATACAGTAAAACAGAGTACAGGGCCTGGTGGAAGCCAATACAGTAAATAAATCAAGATTAGCAGTAATCCTAAGTCCATTGAAGCTAGGCTTCTATTGGGACTAGGTTTGTGTTGGCTATAAAAGAGATGCACTCTCATGGGTCTAAGGTATGTTTTTTATGCTCTGAATAGTGAGTTAAGCACTTTTGCTATATTTGAGAGATAACTAACTTGATTGTCGGAGTGCCCCCGGGTGGACGAACCACTGCCGGAATCTCTTCTTTTTGTGATAGGTCGTTCAGGCTTAATCTATTCTACCAGTGTTCTCTAGCTGAGAGCTTGATTGGTAGTGTGGTCGGAAATTGACACACACAATTTGGCGCCATCTGTGGGAAAGAAAGGAGAATAGATAGCCAATAACGGACAGAAAAAGAAGGTTGGGGACGACATCCCTACTGAGAGCGAGAAACACATTGACCTTGACGTCGAAGAAGACAACTACAACGAAGAGACTCGTGATAAGAATCACGGAGAAAAAGACGTCGGTCAGGAGGGCGACATGCCAAAGAAAATAGACCAAAGCAGGTATTATAACGAGGATGACCTCCAGGTATGGAAGGATAGATGCCTGCGGAGGGACGACGAGATAACCGGAATGGGAACAAATTGGCGGACCTGCAAACGGTCGTTAATTTCATGATGCAGAACAACGTCATGTAGTCATCATTCCCTTTACAAGATACGCCGATTCCAACGGCCAAGAAAGATGCCCAGAAAAGGGAGCAGAACACAGTTCATGCAGTCCCTCAGCACGACAGGACAAAGGGGCATTCTCAACGGCCTTCATGGGAGGTCGGGCATGGAGAATCAAAGAGGGCTGGAGAATAATACTTAGGAGTTCGAATTTACAAGCTAAGGTTGGTTTAACACTTGTTGAAATTTTAAAAATTTACAAGTTGAAGTTAAACCGATGTCATGTTTAACACTTGTTGAAATTTTTTAAAAAAATTACAAGTTGAAGTTAAACCGAGGACATGTTTAACACTTGTTGAAATTTTAAGAAAAATTTACAAGTCGAAGTTAAACTGAGGACATGTTTAACACTTGTTGAAATTTTAAAAATTTACAAGTTGAAGTTAAACCGAGATCATGTTTAACACTTGTTGAAATTTTAAGAAAAATTTACAAGCTGAAGTTAAACTGGGGTCATGATTAAATTAATGAATGATATAGGTTTCATCATCTCAGGATACCGAGGTAATAGAACCTAGGGGGAAGTTGTGGGGACATAATTTTTGAATGACAACACGTGGCCGAGGTGTCACCGAAGTGCCAGCTGAGGTGCCACGTATCCTAGTCATGACACCGAGATCGTCTCGGCTAGGTCGAGATTATCTGCGAAGATATCGAAATCCGAGATAAGCGGATAAGGGACAAAGGTCCTAGAATGAGAAATGACTTCAGTTTGGGTAAAAATAAGATTCTTAGAGAGTTTATCCCAATCCCATTGGGAGTCCAAGATTAGCAGTAATCCTAAGTCCATTGAAGCTAGGCTTCTATTGGGACTAGGTTTGTGTTGGCTATAAAAGAGAAGCACCCTCATGGGTCTAAGGTATGTTTTTTATGCTCTGAATAGTGAGTTAAGCACTTTTGCTATCTTTGAGAGATAATTGACTTGATCGTCGGAGTGTCTCCGGGTGGACGAACCACCGCCGAAATCTCTTCTTTTTGTGATAGGTCATTCGGGCTTAATCTATTCTGCCAGTATTCTCCAGTTGAGTGCTTGATTGGTAATGTGGTCGGAAATTGACACACACACACACATTAAAAAAGTTAAGCACTTTGGTTATCTTTGGGAGATATTTAACTAACTTGATCGTCAGAGTGCTCCCGGGTGGACGAACCACCACCAAAATCTCTTCTTTCTGTTACAGGTCATTCAGGTGCCATCTATTCTGCCAATATTCTCCAGTTGAATACTGAGCTGGCAATGTGGTCAGAAATTCACTCACACACTTATTATGCACATGCACTCTTATTTCTATGAAAGTAATGGGGTCTCTAGAATTCGGGACATATAGAGAAGATCATGTTGTCACCACTTGAATCCGAGACGTAACTTGAAGTTGTGTTATTAAGGTTGTGGGTAAATTATGTAAGAAAGATTAATCTTCCTTACTATACAAATCATAATCGTCTGATCCCTTCTTATTTTTTTTCTAAGTGTGCATTAAATTGTTGAATTTGTTCTCCCATTGTTGAACTTTGTTGATCATGTCTTTTTCTTTTTCTTTTTCTTTTTAATTCTTTTATTTTAAATTTGTTCTTATCGGTCATCACACAAAAAGTAAATTCTTGGTAGGTCATATTGTACAATGTTTATTGACCAATTTATCCAATTAATTGAAGAAGCGAATCGATTGGCCAATTGATTACATGTGGCTAAGCCATCCGATTAATTACACAATTGATTGGAGTGACCAATTCTTCAAATTGATTGAGCAATCAATTTTTTTTTTGTGAAATTTTAAAAGTGCAATGAATTGGCCAATTGATTAGATACAGCCAATCCCATTCAATCAATTGACTAATCGATTGGTTGTGGCCAATCAAATGGTTATTTGATTCTAATGCCCATTGTTATTTTGCTTAGGATGTGGCCAATCAATTATGTTATTGATTATAATGCTCGTTTTGTGTACGATGGGGCTGCTTATACTATTTCTTCGTTTCTGGAAGGCTATTTGTGGGTTTAAGTTGTACTTTTTAATTCTTAATTTTGATTATATGTGGGAATATACGACTGTAAGTTATTACAGTCAGTAATAGATATAGATATATGTCACACTTAATGGTTGGTCACTTTTTGTTGCTCATGGTTGTAGCAAGCAGAATATTATTTGGTTCATCTGTTTCATTTATATTTAGGTAAATTATAAACGCCCCTTTTGATATTTACTTAAATTACTTTTCTTATAATTTTAAAAATTACATTATATCTCTTAAGGTTTTTAATTTTATAATAAATAGGTCCTTTTATTAGTAAATTATCAAGATAATTTACAATTTTTTTATAATGTTAAAATTTTATTTCAATTAATAATTCAAATAATTTTATTATTGTATAGATGAACAGTTATAAATTTCACTTTTTTAATTAATTCTGTTAAATAAAAAATTCTGATAGGGAGGTATTTATAATTTTCTAAACCACATAAGACAATTCATATTTTAAGCAAATCTCAAGGAGTGTATTTGTAATTTATCCTTTTTATTTTAAATAATTGGGCTTGTTGGGCTACCATTTGCGAAATTGGGCTTGTTGAGTTTGAAATCCCAGGCCCACATCTACTTCTGCAGTGGTTTACGGTTTTTCGGAATTCCCTCTCCGCGATTCGATTTTGCAAATCGGTCTCTTCGAATTCCTTCTTCCAGCTTTGTCTCAAGCTACGAGTCTCTTCACGCCTTCAGTCTCCATCTCGGGTATCTCTCTCTCCCTCTCTCCCTCTCTCTCTCTCTCCTTGAAAACCTACTAATTGTAGCCCTAGTTTGAGTGATCGTTGTTTGCAGAATTGTGATAAACAAAGGAATAGTTAGTTGGTTGTGATTTCAATGTTAAACAGAGTCTATTATGTTCACCAATAGTCGGAGGCAAGAAGAGCGTACTGGAAAATATGGAACTCCAAGGCTTCAATATCTTCAGGTCCATTACTTCACACACTTAGACCCAGATTGGTATCACATGAATTCTCTCCTTTTATTGTTTATGTTAGTGCCCTATCAATTTTCAGTGTTTTCCCAAAAACCAATTATTCAAGTAATAGTTTTGAATGTTGCTTCTTCAAATCAATTATAAAAAAAAATTGAATTCAAACTCGGATTTTATTGCAGAAACAAATAAGTTAGAAATTAGTGTTAGTAAGGATGGAACAGTTACATGCATGACTAGTGAAGTATTTTATGTATGTGGGTGTTGATTAAATTTCACCTTTTGGTTTCAGGAATTAGTGTCTCAGTTTCAGAATGCGACTAGTGAAGGTATGATGTGTCAACATTGTTGTATATCTGTGATTTTTCCTCTTTTTGAAATTTAACTTAATGCGGAATCTTGAAATTAGCTATGCCTTTCTTAAACAAAGAAAAGTTGATAAGGTTGCAATTTAGTTACTTTGGATTTAGTGGCAAGTCTTGAGTCCACCTCACCTCTTCCCAATCACTAGAAATGCTCTGAGTAATAACTCAGCATTAGGGATTGTTAAACATAAGGGGTCCATTTTGTTTAGCATAAGAAGGTAGTTTGGGTTTTGATTACCAAGTGTGGTAGTATACTGAGGTGGATGTGTGGAAAAATTAGGAGAGGGAGTTCGGTATGAATGAATTCATGAGATGGTAGAGGTAGCACCTTAAATGAGGATAAATTGATTAAAATGGTTTGGTTGTGTGCTATGAAGACTAGTAAGTGCCCCAGTTAGGAAGGGTGACACTATCTGCGTTGAGGGTAATGTTAGGAAACAAGGGAGACCAAGCTTAACTTGGGCTTACAGAAAGACATGCTATAGCTTTAGTTTAACTGAAATTCTGACCCTTAATTGAGCGGAATGAAAAAATAGAGGTCCTGGGGACATGCTTGCTTTTGAACACATTACCTAAGGTGAAATGAATTTCCAGATTTTCTCATCCTGCTTGATACTTTTTTTTAGAGTGACATCTGAGGGTATTACATACCTCATTTCAAATTATATGATGATAAAAGGTTCAGGATCAGTTCTGGTGGAAAAGTTCCATGAATTAGTAATTCATGTCACTCAGTTCATGTAGTTGTAGAAATGCCTGGTTGAATATTTAAGTGAATGAAGTCAATGGCAGTGTTCCAATTTCTTTTACTTAATCTTGCTTTCGATAAACCTCAACCATTACCATTAACATGAATGATTGATACTTGTGTTTGCAGAATCAAAAGAGAGGATTGTTGCTAATTTAGCAAACTTCGCGTATGATCCTTACAATTATACCTTCTTGCATCAGGTTCAGTGTCCTCAACTGAATGGTGAACAACTTGTAATTTATTTCCTGATCTTATCTTATCACATAATAACTTCTATTTGTGATTTTAAACAGCTCAACATTTTGGAACTTTTCCTTGATTGCATAACAGAACCAAATGAGAAGCTTGTAGAATTTGGTGTTGGAGGGATCTGCAATTCTTGTGTTGGTAGCCAAAAGATCTAAACCTTTTGCTAGATACTTCTATATTAACTCAAAACATTCCAATTTTCTTGCTCATATTCTTCAACTTCTTTCAAAGTAATGAGTGCTATTAGGGGTGTGCGTGCGAGCGCGCGCACGTAATGATGTCTAACTTATTAAATTCTCTCTGCAGATCCAGCAAATGCTGCCATTGTCACCCAGTGTGGTGGGATTCCTCTTATCATTCAATGTTTATCAAGTCCTGTTAGAAACACTGTAAGGCGTAAATCTTTTTCATGGGTTAGAATACATCATTTCAATTGTCATTGCTTCTTCACTTCTTGAAGTTGGGTTCCATCATAGATTGGAAGGAACTCTGAATTAGATACTCAACCACCATGATTTCATAATTCGAAGGAAAACAAAATAATTTGCATTTTGTTTGTAGATTTTGCTCATTCAAGTTTGTGGTGTGTATTAGATAACAACATATTTGAGACAGGTTTTTTTGCTTTGTAGCTAGTAATAAAATTATGTTTCTAATTTATATATATGGTGTAGAATCATATTCATGTATGTTTCTAATTCAAGTAAATTACGATTTGTAGGTAAATTATGCTGTCGGGGCTCTGTATTATCTGTGTAATGCTTCTAACAAGGAAGAGATATTGAAACCAGAGGTGGTGGATGTCATGAGAAGGTATGCGGCAGCTGGTGCAGTTAGTGTAAGCTTCAGTAATCTAGCTCAAGCATTTCTAGATAAGCACGTTGATGAACACGAGTGACAGATAAATTCTACTTTATGGTACCGATTCATTCAATGATGTCATTCATATTTGATATAATTTGTGTCACATTAATATCATAATTGACTTCTTTGTTGTTTTAAACACCTTGTAAATATTTACTTGCCTTTGTTAATAGTTATTACCTCTGTTTTCATAGAGAATTACTAGTATTGTACTTTTGTAGTGGTTACGAATTAGGTTGTCGTCCACTGAACTGCCCTTTACAGTTCTTTTCTGTTAATTATTTCAACTTGAGGTTTAGAAAAATCCCGTGATTAAGTCTTTTCTAGGTTGCTTAATCTACTGGATTACCTACTAAGGTAATGAAATTATGATGATAAGAATAATGCGCTAATGACTATCTACTAACTTACTATAATGTGAATGGATTTGATGTTGGAATCAGCTTGTATAATCTACTGGATTGCCTACTAAGGTAATGAAATTATGATGATAAGAATAATGCGCTAATGACTATCTACTAACTTACTATAATGTGAATGGATTTGATGTTGGAATCAGCTTGTATAATCTACTGGATTGCCTACTAAGGTAATGAAATTATGATGATAAGAATAATGCGCTAATGACTATCTACTAACTTACTATAATGTGAATGGATTTGATGTTGGAATCAGCTTGTATAATCTACTGGATTGCCTACTAAGGTAATGAAATTATGATGATAAGAATAATGCGCTAATGACTATCTACTAACTTACTATAATGTGAATGGATTTGATGTTGGAATCAGCTTGTATAATCTACTGGATTGCCTACTAAGGTAATGAAATTATGATGATAAGAATAATGCGCTAATGACTATCTACTAACTTACTATAATGTGAATGGATTTGATGTTGGAATCAGCTTGTATAATCTACTGGATTGCCTACTAAGGTAATGAAATTATGATGATAAGAATAATGCGCTAATGACTATCTACTAACTTACTATAATGTGAATGGATTTGATGTTGGAATCAGCTTGTATAATCTACTGGATTGCCTACTAAGGTAATGAAATTATGATGATAAGAATAATGCGCTAATGACTATCTACTAACTTACTATAATGTGAATGGATTTGATGTTGGAATCAGCTTGTATAATCTACTGGATTGCCTACTAAGGTAATGAAATTATGATGATAAGAATAATGCGCTAATGACTATCTACTAACTTACTATAATGTGAATGGATTTGATGTTGGAATCAGCTTGTATAATCTACTGGATTGCCTACTAAGGTAATGAAATTATGATGATAAGAATAATGCGCTAATGACTATCTACTAACTTACTATAATGTGAATGGGTTTGATGTTGGAATCAGCTTGTATAATCTACTGGATTGCCTACTAAGGTAATGAAATTATGATGATAAGAATAATGCGCTAATGACTATCTACTAACTTACTATAATGTGAATGGGTTTGATGTTGGAATCAGCTTGTATAATCTACTGGATTGCCTACTAAGGTAATGAAATTATGATGATAAGAATAATGGACTAATGACTATCTACTAACTCGGAATATAATGTGAATGGATTTGATGTTGGAATCAGCTTGTAAACCCATCAAGGATGGATGTAGGGCGTGCAGGCAGCGGCGGTTGCACTCCCAAAACTTTAAAAATTTATATATATGATACTAATAATTAGTAAGATAATTTCAAATTAGAATGTTTTGCACTCCCAAAATTTCAGTAGTTTGCACCCTATAAATTATTTACGTTACAAAATTTTAAAAATAATTTTTAAATTGAGTTTTATCAAATATTGATATATTCTATTTGTTATCTGTATTATTTATTATATTTCTATATTTTTTAAAGTTACTTGTATTTTTTTTATCGGTTTCTATTTATTAGTATTCTTATTTTTTGTTCATATGTCATCTATGTTTTTTCTTATTGTTTTATAAATCACACATTTTAATTTGATTATGCATCTTATTTTACACTCATATTTGTTTGTTCATTCTCTCATCTTATTTTGCACTCGTTCTTGTTTGTTCATTCTCTAGAAATAAGAATATTGTCTATTTCAATATGACATTTTTAAAACAAGTTAATAAATTTTAATACCACTTATTGAAATGGATTATCATTATACTCATAAAAACATACATTTTCAATTATATTTTTTTTTTCAAAACTAAACTGCATAATAAGATGGAAGATGATTTTGTAATAAGGTACTTTATCATATTCATTGAGAAAAATATTAATTAAGGTTTTGATGTTGAGTTTATCATAGATGTTTATATATATATATATATATATATAATAAAAAAT